GAGAGAGAGAGAGAAAGAGAGAAATTAATTTCTCGTATTTATCTCGGATAATTTCTCAACGATCAATGTCACAGAAGCGTTTTGACAAATCCCGCAGTGTGTAACGCCTGCTTGTAAATTCCGCTTACATATCCAGCATGTAATTATACAGAGATCGCATGAACGATTCGAGACGATTTCAAGCACGTCCGACCTTCTCGTAGATAGCTAGATGAGTAGACGGTTTCTTTTTGCAGAAACATCTAAGATTGTATTGTGAGAATATCTTAGTAAAAACGTCGAGCTATAACATGTTGTTTTTAAATCAATGCTATTAATAAAGTGAAAAATAACTGAAGTAGCCGAGCAAATGGTAAACAAAATTAATTACGTATCTCATTATAAATACAAAGTGTCTTGACATTTTTTATAATATAAGATCCTTTACAAGTCGAGGTGTAAACGTAATATAGATCTAGAACTACAGCCAATGTTTGATTCATAGTGGCGTTGCGTGTGGTCGCTAATCGATAACAGATGGTGGCCGCGATAGGTGAATACGAGCCGATCTAATTCATATGCACAATTTGCGCGCACAAATTGTTTGTAAGCCAGCCTGTAAACTCACCTCGCAAATTGTCTGTAAATTTCCACGCGGATATCAGCATAAATACTTTGCATTAATAATAACATCCTTCAAACACGATTATTGTACACGATATAAATATATATAATATCGCACGATAATAATAATATCGTCTTAATGCATGCATAACAGTCGATATTATACAAACAATATGTAATGAAATAGAACAATAAAAATTTCCACGCGAAAGACAGACGCCAATGGTCGTCTCGAAAACAGCGGTTGTTTTTTCTTTTTTTTTTTGCGTTTGCGCTGATCGAACGAACCAATTTACAAATAATGTATAATAAACTGGTGACGATTTAAGAAAAATTCCAAGACGTATAGAATAATTAACCCGGAATGTTCAAACACAGTATCTCTTTCTCGCGGACTCATCTCGATCATCTGGCGGAGACAGACTCCGCAGACTCCGCGGCGACCCGTCTAGATCAGCCTGGCCCCGCCGGGACCCGTTGGGATATGACACGGGCCCCGACGCACTGCGGCCCAGTTCTCATGCACGCCGGCAAGGTCTCGGCTTGCCGCGGGCGATCGGCACACATATGCGCCGACCACGATTATGCAACCGTTCTCTCTCTCTTCTCTTTTGTCCCTTTATCTTTCTCGATCCTCGATTCCCGTCAACGCTCGCTCATCGATCCGCGATTTCCGACGATTCCGTCGATTCGCGAGGCGTCCCATCGAGATCACGAGCTCGCGAGGCGTCTGTGACAAAATTCGTTCAGCCAAAATTCGTCGACTAATCGTAAAATTGGTCTAATAAGATAGCGATCGGAAAAAATCGGTAGTAAAAACGAAGGCCCTGAAGCGGCCCGCTTTTAATTTTAACGAGATTCTCTCTTTAACGAAGGAGATTCCTCGATAAAAGATTTTGCGGCCGAGAATTGATTCGATTGAAGCGGGCGGGACTAAAAGTCAGAAGATGCAGACTCTTTTGTGTGGTCCCGAGAAACCGTGCGACATGGCCTTGCGAGTTGGTCAGATGAATAAAAATCCCCGGACCGTGTCGTTTTTACGGTTTTAATTGACACGTACTCGCGCGACGCATGTCCGTCCGGGCTCTAAGGAATATAATAAAGCATGTCGGGTTTAAAGCGCGCTCTAAAGGGGAAAGTTATGCCACTTTCCGCGACTCATCGGCCTTGTCTTTTTATTCGCAATGTTGTTCCGAGAAAAGTAATAAACGGACCCCCAACGCCCGCGAAATTCACGCGTATTTCGGCGGGCCTCGTTTTGCCGGGGCCCTGCGCGCCTATCTCGGCGATCACGAGGCCTTACGGGCCTCATATTTTTCAGCTAAATAAGCGGCTGCCCAGAAGAGCTCACGCAGATCTTACATCCGTTAATCTCGAATTTTTAAATCTTCACTTTTGGCGAAGTTAAGTGAAAAATGTGGCAATCCTGTTTCAAATTTCTTTGGGATCATTCCGGCAGTCATTTCGGATCTCCAATTGCCGGGCCCTCGACAAGCCTGATGCGCGTGCGTTTGCGGTTTCTTTAATGCTTTTAAATTAGAGATCAAACGAAAAATAAAATTAATTTTCAGCATCCGTTCCGGTCCGGCGTATAGATTGTACGATCTCTGAATTGTCTCGCGGTTTCGCGCCCTCGGGGCCTTACGACCCATAGCTCGCGGTCATACGCCACGTCTGCAAAAGTGCGCAGGATCGGATTCAAAGGGGACAATATCGCGACAATATAAAGAATCCAACAAGATAAAAGATGAATGATATAAAAGAAAGAATAATAAAATAAAGAACAGAATACAAAGTGGTAAGCTTCACGCTCTCTCCTATTCAAAGAAAAATCGCTTCAGACGTAATTCAGGTTGAGTCCTGACATCTCTTCGTTTTTCACAAACATATAAATACTAAAACGTAATACAACAAAGTACGATAAAATAATGATGAAATAATGATGATCTTGTTATTAATCAAATCCACTTCTTATCGTCGATGAAGTTTATCGCGGACTAAATAGAATAAATCCGAACCTGAAGATGCATGTTTACCATACACGTGCCGTGTTCCTTTTTCGCGCAAACGACCATGCACGTGTAACACACGTTGCTCAATTCGTACTTCGTCACGAATTAGAGGCGAGCAGGTGCAAGGATCGCGCGCCATGAAATTGTCCTAGAAATCGTCCGCAGAATACGATAGGCAAAGCTGATCGCCTTGAATCATTTTACTGCTCTCTCCGAGTGCGAATCATCTTTATTGTCATCCAGACGATAGCTGCCGAATTCGTAGTAAAATCACGGACTTTCGAAGTCACACGGTGGGAAAGTAGCGTTCCCGCAAGAGCTGTCTGACCTTTCCATGTTTAGCTTTACTCTTTTGAAACTGGACAGTAGCAAAATATTGCAGCACGATATTAATTAATAATGACAAATCGATAATGTCGCGTTCGCTACCAGCATTACGTGCGCATGATCCATTCGCTTCTCGTTGCGTCGATTTAAGTCAAATGTCAAGATAAATTCCATCGTTAATATTTTTCTTCTTTCTTTGTTTCAATTTCATTCAAATCGCGACCGCGATAAGTACATACCATGAAACCTAAGACAATAATAATAATAATAATAATAATAATAATAATAATAATAATAGCGAAGAGAGAAATGAGATTAAGATGTCGAGAAAGTGTTTCACGCCAATAACATGAGAAGGATCGAGATACAACATTAACGAGATGCGTGCAGCTTACAACGCAAATTACGCGTCTTTCCCTCTCTTTTTCTCTTCCTTTTTGAAACGGACCGTCATCGTCCGGCGACTCGTTCGAGCGTTAAATACGACTGCGCGCGAGCATTAAATAATGGGCCTCGCCGACGTATTGTCAGTAATTACCGTAAGGTGTCTGGCCCCGCCGTTCCGTTACAAATTTGTACACGTTGTCGGCAGCGCTCCAGCAGCGCGAAGGCGCAGGATCGGATCCGCAAACTCTTTGAGGAAGAAAGAAGAAAAGAAAGAGAAAGATTCTAATCTCAGTTTTTCTACTATATTACAATATATTATAATATGCTGCAATATTTAATTAATTGATTTAATTATTTCGACAACGACAAGTAGTAGAAATTAAATAATGCTTTAATAATTAATTAACAATCGTTAAATAAAAACAGAAAGATCTAAAGAATTTTTTTATCTTTTATTACTGCACTCGTCGAATTTATTTTTAACTACATGTGTCTATTCGAACACATTTTTCCCCTTAATTATACATGCAGATTCTAATTTTTTAAATTAATATACACTTCAGTATTTTTCCGAATTATATAATTGCATGAGATGTAGCCATTGTGGAACACAATAAATATAATTATTGAAACATAATATATGATAAATTTATTCGACAAATTGTCGAATTTTCTCTCTCTTTCTCTCGAATTTCTTCCAACAACATATTTGCGATTAAATAATTTAAAGATGCATATGGTTAGCGGGTATCAGATCCATCAATCTCTAAGATCCATCAATCTCTCCTTATCCTTTCTAGTACGGGCCTGCGTGTAGAGACGTAATTGGGCTGCGTGACACACACAAGCTGCAAGGCGTAGGACAATGATCTTTTGCCTGTGGGCCTATGGGTTTGCGCAATGATGCTGCGTGCATGAGGGAGCGGCTCCTCTCGGGACTCAAAAAGGCCCCCAGCAAGATGACTCTAATATTTACCGAAGGATATGTCGTTCTTACCGCAGAAATCAGATTTTGTTTTAGATAAATCCTATTCTAAATGTTTCGCTCACCTATGCTCAATTGTAATTTTTATTTCCCATTTGTTAAATTGCTTTATGGACTCTTTTCATTTTATATAAAATCTTGAACATGAATGACAAAAAAATAATGAAGTATATACATATATGTACATAAAAT